ACTGTTGTTCTCTAACATGTAAATATTTGAATGAATTAAAACACTCCATTTGCCTCTTCAGATGCTCCGGAGCTCAAGAACCCTGACAATATTGTTGTTCGTGAGGGTGATGACATCACCCTGACCTGTGAAGTGGAGGCCAATCCTCCTCCTGTCTTTAATTGGACCAGGGATAGGGTGAATATGTTGGAGAACACGAATGAGCTCAACGTTATTCGAATCAAGGCCAGCACAACCTACAGCTGTGTAGCTTCCAATTACCTGGGAAACATCACGAAGATCTTCAATGTACGTGTGATACCAAGGCCAACAGCTCTTGCAGCCATACCTACCACTATGGCTTCACCAAAAAAAGGTACATCCTTGTGTCCTTTAAATTAGTTTACACTTAATATCTCTTGTGCACCAAAATCTACAGAGGTCTGACTGAATATGTTTGCTTTTGAATGATAGGTTGCCCCCTAGAGTTGATGCCTGCTGAAGCTGTGGTGAAATTCGGAGATCCAGTTTCAGTTAACTGCAGCACAACAGACCCAGATTTTTTGCAAATGGGCTGGGAGGCTCCATTTGGAGGCACAGGGTTTGAAAACTCTTCTCTGGTAACCTGGAAGGTTGATAAACTGCAAGAGTGGACAATAGAATCTAAGTGCTTGGTGACTCTGACCTATGACCAGTGCTCTGTGATGCCAGACATCACTGTTTATAGTGAGTATACGTCTACAGGTTAAGGTCATATTTATCTGTAGAGTGCTTAAAAAACAATCCAGGTTTGTGCCAAAGTGCTTTACAACAAACGCTGAGCAAAAAGAGTATCACAAGACACCATCATCACACATCTCACATCCATACAGACCGTCATCTATGCAGAATGCCAATCCTGTCTAGAAACATTGCAGGGTTAGGCAAGGTGTCTTAGGACACTCTTTAAAAGACTCAAAAGATTCTGCTGTTTTTACAGACTACTGTCAGCTGTCTTTATGTCAAGAGGATTGTCGAACTAAATGTTTGCCATGAAAGTGATTATGTCTGCTTACAGAAACTCTAAATGGTACATTACATTTCCCCTTAAAAAGCTAAGTAGATATGGAAGAAATGATGGTGTAAAAAAGCCTTGAAAAGCACAGATCCAAATGTTTTTGCATTGCAAATTCATTTTTATGTGGAATAACTAAAACAGCAACAAGCTTGTTAATACTAATGCATTTGTGTATGCACATTTCTTGTACAGTTGTGGTTACAATTTTAGGGATATCTTTACATTTGTGTTTTCCTACTAATTATTTTCCCTTGCTTTATTCACAGAGACTCCAGACTCCGTGACGGTCTCTGCATTGGATGGTGGTCCGATGGTGGAGGGCACGGAATATAAGCTCAATTGTGACATCATCAATGTTACTCCTCAGGAGAAGCTCCAAGTGAAGTGGTACAAAGGCAGTGAAATGGTGCACAGACAAACGTTTAATGACACCAGTGTGACCCCAGTCAATGTGTCCTCTACCTTGATAGTCACTCCTAGCAGAAATGACGACAGAGCACTTTTTAAATGTGTGGCTGAGCTCCACCTTGGACCAAACGGGCCAGAGCTCGTCCCTGCTGAAGAATCATTACCATACACTGCTGTTGTGCACTGTGAGTTTTCCACCTCTCTATTTATAACTGGATTTCACATGCTGAACAACTGATAATATATACTTTTTCATTCATATTAATTGTAGATAAGCCACGGATCCAAAATTGTCCCAGCAGTTACAGCGGTATGGAACACAAATTCCATATGGACAGTTTGATCTGTAAGGCTGATGGGAACCCTGAACCCGCGCTTCATTGGTACTATCAAGGAAAACCGATCATTGCATCTGAGCCGCTCACTAGGGCTCGCTCAGGAGAGTACACAGCTACATTTGTGAATAGCCTTGGCAACATCAGCACTACAGTTCATATCACAATCGAATGTGAGTGCATCAGACTTGCTTGACTGTGTATTTCATTATATATATATATATATATATAAGCACCTTATTTTACATGATTCCCTCGTGCACTGTACTAAAGTGTTGATATGTTGATATTTATTTTTCCATCATTTATTCTGAAAAGTGTTTTGATGCAATGTTCACAGATCCACCTTCATTTACCTGCGATAAAAGCTACGTGGTTCAAGCGGATGTTAAACTCCAAAATGAGTGTGAGCCACAGGGAGAACCTAAACCTGACATAATCTGGTTTAAAGATGGAAAACGGATGACAACCCCACAGTACTGGAGAAAGCATGAGAGTGGAAATTATTTACTAATAGCCAAAAACAATTATGGAACAGTCAATCACACCTTTTATCTCAATGTTTTGTGTAAGTTTTATTGTTGGAAATTACAAAATGAGATTTGCATCTTGCTTTGCTGACAGTGAATATAAGTGATATGGGATTATAAATACAATTTTGATTTATTTTTCTGTAATCTAACCCTCCTCTTCACAGATGCTCCTGTGTTCAAGGAGGAAAATTACACTGTGGAGGTGACCGTGGATGGAAATGTGACGTTTGAATGCCATGCTGAGGGTAACCCTGCCCCTGAGATCCGTTGGAAGTACACCTCTGCAGACAATGTAATGGAGACCACTGGGGGGCGCCAGAAGAACATCACCGTCACAGGAGCCACGTCTACCAATGCTGGTGTTTACATCTGTGTTGCCACGAATAAAGTTGGGAGTGTGGCAAGATCTGTCACACTGGTGATAAAAGGTATTCTTATTGACTCTGTGCAGTTATTGAGATGTATACAATGAAGTGGTAACTGGTGTTGATGTTGCTGTAAATAGGTTGCTAAAAAAACAAACAAAAACACATTTATAGCATAAGGAAGTGAGAAGTACACTATTATTTATTTATTATATTATGTTGTTTTTGTCTTGTTTGTCTTACAGATCCATTCCTCATCTGGATTTTGATAATTATATTGATCATTGTCCTCCTCCTCCTCCTCCTCCTCCTCCTCATTGCCTGTTACTGCAACCGCAGGAAGAAACAGAGAAAATATAGTTTAGTCTCTACCAACATCCCTATGACTCCAAAGGCTAACGGGGTTCAAGCTTAGGATATTTATTACTGAATAGGTACGATTAAATCAGCTGCAATCAGATATAGCTTTTGTTTTGGCCTGTAAATACAGTATTATCATTTCAGCTTTTGTCTATTTTTTGTGTTTTTATTTTACAAACGTGTTATTGTGGGAAGGTACGTAGCTCATTATGTTCATTTAATATTAATAAAGTTACACAATACCCTGTGTTAATGTGTTGTGCTTCAGTCTGAAAACCCTTCATTGATTACAATTGATCTCAATGGTTCCACATTTTTTGCTTTCACAATGTAGCCTTGATTGTTGTCGTGGCTATTTATTAACAAATAACATTTTAACAACTGTTGGTCACATTAAATAGTTTATGCATTGCTGTCACGACTGATTGGGGATTGTAAGTAGGCCAACACTGATTTCAGATAAATAATTCAGGACTTAAGAAGTCAGTTAAAATTGTTTGTTTGTAAAGAAACAGACCAAGTCTCCAGTTTAATTGAGTCATTCATGGCTTGACTAACACTGTGTGAATCTGGTTTATGTGCCAGCATCAGTCAGTGTGTTATAGGATCAGTATCTAAAGACATCCTGTGTGATGATTTTTTTTGAGGATGCTCTGTCCGGGTAGCACAAATAAGCTCAGTGAATACCATAAACCAGGTTTAAAATCAACACATGTTAAAAGAAAAAAGCAGCATTTATAAGCGCCCTTATCAGGATGTAACCCAGTCCAGAGGGAACTCTGGTTTGTGGTTCAGTACACGGCCCCTTTAAGGTTTAGGATTTGGGAGTGACGCGGATATGAAAGCTAGTTTATCCCTCTTTCCTTCGCTATGAAAATTATTTGGACAAAGTAGACAAACGACTGCCAGCCCTAGTTAATTAGTTAATTATGATTGTAGTTTACATTATTTGTTGAAGGAAGCAAAAAGCCGGAGTGCGTAGTGGTTACGACTGATTTATCACCTCGGGATTATACTCGCTAGGGCCGCCTTCCGAGCTGTTGGGATAACTTTGGAGAAGTTCTTTGTATTCGGGATAGTCACAGCTTGGCCAACAAGCTGAACATGGACTGGGGCACAGAGCTTTGGGTGAGTCCATCATCTGGCTCGCTTTTGGTAGCAGTAGGTAGTAGGGATTGGAAGTAATGCGATTCCTTAGACACTGTTGGCTGGGAAAAGTCGGGTAACGCTAACAGTCCTGTTAAGTGAGTGAATACATGTCTGAGGAAGAGGCGCTTGGCTCTGTAGCTGCAGGCTTGTGTCTGCAGAGCGGTGCATTCACGAACGCGGTTCCATTTTCGGACAGTTTTTCTTTAGCGTTTAGTAGTTGAGACAAAGAGTGGGCTTGCTGAAGCCCACTGCCAACATGTTGCTCTTGTGGTAAGTGAAGCACAGTTACAGTTCATCTTGGATCCACGTTTGTACATTGGCTGGATGTTTGGCTATTGTTTGGATCTTTGGTTTTCCCAGGAAATCTGTAACGTTATGCAGTGGGGTATCTACAGTGCATGAGATGGTAAAGTTACTTAAATCCAGAACTAGTTTTCCTCATTTCAAACATGAATCACTCACATACTGTTAATCACATCTAGAAGTACTAAATCAAAAGCAACTTGGGCAAAAACTAAAAGTATTTTTTAGATATCGTATGACCTGGATGACAATCATAATAAAAAACACTGAACAATATAAATAGCTAAATATGGCTTCAGAATACACTTTATTCTGCATACATAAAGGCATGTTAAGTGTGCTGAGGTGGGTTGTACCTGTGGGATGTTTCACTGTTTACAGTCTGGCACTCCTTGCTGCCATAGAGATGAAATCAGATGCTGTCATTTGCCTTGACAACAAGCTTCATCACCGATGAGTGGCATGATTACTTATTCAACAGTGCCCTGATTTCAAGAGATCTTCATTTTCCAATAAGGTGTGACAGGGTTATTTGTTGCTTTGAGTGCTTATATAAATAGAGCGTGTAGGACATGTTTTTATTCTATTTTCTTTTTTAAATTAGACTCAGTTGACCGATATAGTAATTCAAATAAACTGCTTCAGCTGGTCATTTTAAATGAGGGCTCTTTTCTAGGTCAAAGCAAATCAAGGTGCTACTGTCTGCAAGCCACTTCCTGGACACAATGTTAACAGTAGAGGCACTATTCAGAATGTAAAATGTAAATTGAAAAAGTCCCACCATGTAACATGTTTCCTTGGTGATGTGCACTGTACCATAGCAATAAAAGCGACACATTTGCAAACACTCACACACGCACATTCTCGGGGAACCTGAATATGTAAAATGGAGCATTGCAAAGATGAGGATAGGGAGGTTGTGACCTCATTACAAATTCCCCCCCTAGGCCTCTTCCCCTGTCCCTTTTCCATCCTACGTGCTGGTGCAACAGCCTAATTAGTTTTGCCCTACTTTGATTGAGTCAGAGAAACACCCCAGTATAATCAGTGGCTCTATCTCTGTGCTTGAGTCTTTCCTGTTCATCACATGAAGTTGTTTCACTGCTTGTAGAGGAAACACTGCACACAAAAGCCAGAGCTCTGTCTCTTATCACTGTGAAACTAATGTCAATGTAAAATACTGGTATGATTACATATTGAAATATTTAATAAATACATTTTTGTGCCGTGGGTTTATTTGGCTATAACCTCACCCGTCTGATTAGACAAAGCCCTGCAGACATAATTGGTTCTGTTAATGTTTGGCTGAAGAGTCATCCCCTGGGCCAAGTCAGCTCTATGGCATCTGTCCCCTGATTGCTGTTAATCCAATGGCTATTTAAAGGCACAAGTTTGCAGAGAGCAGTGTCTAGGTATTAGCTGTGATAGTGAGTGCTACCAGGCCAACCCTGAGAACTATAGAGTGGCAGGTCTGGCTGGGCCAGGCCCCTAATTTTCTAGAAGACAGGGTGACTCAGGGCTGAAACATCCGCCCAAGCCTTGTAGGTCGATGACTTTCAGGGTGACTCCTTTATAAGTTATGTGGCATTCATTTGATGCCAGTGTTCTCTATGGTATTACTGGGAAGTATTGGTGGATGAAATGTAAAGGCACATGTTGGATGCTTTCTAGGTTTAGATAAGACCTTTTAAAACATACATTTTGAAGCACGATATGGCCTATCAGTCTTTTAATCACACCTCCCGGCCTAAATCGGTGCCATAATAATATAGAGTATGGCTTCCCTTGTTTGGAAGTTCTTTAATTACCAGGGCAGAATATTTAGCTTACCCATCAAAAATGGTGAAACGAGTGTAGCCGAGAAAGATGCTACTAAATGTTCCAAAGGAATGTGTTATAGGTGACTCAAAATGTATAAACTATATATAAAGGTGTGGAAGGAGGGCTGAAGTAATAATGAAATTGTCAGATACAAGCAACAAACACAAGATTTTCTGTTCAGGAGCAGTTTCATGTACCCTTTTATGATTTATGAAAATCAGTTCAGTACCCATTCTATGGGGACCTGTAAAGATAATTTTGACTGTGGCTTTGGATGGTTATAAATTGGAGTAATTTGACAGTCACTGGTGTTCGGGACATTGATTATGCCGTTGTGAGCTATTTTGATGGAATTTAATGAGTTTTGGAATTTTTTCTAATTGGGACACTCTTGTTTTGAATCAAGCAGCAACAGTTAATCAACAGATTATCAGATGCTGATTTTTTTATTTTTTATTTTGCCATTTATAAAAGAGCACATATTTCATCAAAGGCTCTTTCTTTTCCAGCAATGCCGCACAGAACCTGAGGAACATATGATGTATATATGTAGTGGAAACAGTCAATTACTATGTATTTATGTAATGATAAAAAGAAAGGCTTATTAAAAAAAAAAAAATGTCAGGCGGTATATATATATATATATATA